ACCGGAGGGGAGAGGGACTTGAAGGCAGGGAAGAAGAAGACATGTTCAGATGTGAAACTCGTCACTTGAAACACATCTTAATCTGAAGAGGGGGGATGAAGGAGGGGGGGGGTGGGGGGCGGTGTTGGAGGGACTTAAAGTACTTTGGCCTGCTATCCCACATGCACCCACCGGTTAATCTGAGGCCACGAAAAGGTTCGGTCGACTGGAAGTGCTGTGTCCCAAGGAGTGAGGCCGGGCGTGGGGGGTTGTAGGGAGAGATTTGGGTTTCCCAACCTTGGGGAATTTTTCACTTACAATGGCTTCAATAAAGCACTCTGAAAAGATCCGTGGATGGAGGGTGCATGCTACTTCTTAGGATAAATGTTTTAAGTAGTCATGCCAACTATCAGTCAGCACTGACCCGTTGGGGGTCGACCTACAGACCGGTTGGCTGACACCAATCGCAGGTGGCAACAACCTAAAAATTTCTTCTTCTTCTTCTTCTTCTCCTTCTTCTTCTTCTTCTTCTTCCTTCTTCTTCTTCCTTCTTCTTCCTTCTTCTTCTTCCTCCTCCTCCTTCTTCCTTCTTCTTCTTCTTCCTTCTTCTTCCTTCTTCTTCTTCTTCTTGTCCAGTAAAATGTTGTCCAATCAACCGTGTATGCCTTGAAATTCCGCCTCTATAGAGGCCACCCAGTTCATCGGAGTATTGCTTGAGTTGGTGGTGATATAGCTTTTCCCCGGCCATCCATGACATAGCACAGTTTTTACGTCTTTTTTTAGTGCGAAAGCGATGAATGTGGCTTATGCTTTATTGATGTGTTCGGCTGACATTCCATGTTTTATGGACTTTTCTCCTTTTCTCCTTTTCTGACCTGTTGATGAAACTTACTGCAATCATGACCAGATGAATTGAGCATGCCCTGGGTGCAGCACGAAACCTCAATTTGGGAAGTGTGTGCAACAGCTGTCCGGTCATTATAGCTCTATTTGATGCACTTTTCAGTCCAGATACGGGAGTAATTACGGTGCGGCGTGCGTTCTATTCGGGTGATTACGGTCGCTTCTTTCTGCATTTAACTCTCCTGGCATCGTTAGCTTTGCTCGGAAACTGATGATGCATACGGATGTTGTCTCGCAGGCTGCTCTCGATGTATTTACGGAGGAACCGCCGCCAAAGGACTGCCCACTCATTGCCAGGGAGGACATAATTGTGACCCCTCACCTTGGTGCAAGCACCCAGGAAGCTCAGGTAGCGTCATCATCCTCCCGCCATCACTTCCGTTTGCTGTTGGAAATGATCGTCTGCCTTGAACAAGTCATTTGCTTCAGCCCTTTCTCTCTATATGTTACTTAGCAGTATGGTTCGAGCAGAAACGGTATGCTGACTCTGACAATTTGGGCCTGGACTCTTGAAGTCAAATTTCAACATGAAACTGTGCAAGGTAAGAGACGATCGAGAATGGAAGCCATGTGTTAAGAATTGAGATGCAGTTTGACTCAGCCTTTCCCCCCGTTCCAACAATCAAATGGCTTGTAGGCCCCTCTTCAACCCCTCTTGTTAACTCTGTATGTGTCTGTCGGCAAAAGCATTGATCCGTCTTGCCTGTGCCATATTTTCCAAAACAAAGCTGTGCCGCCGCGTGGGAGCCTTTTTTTTTTTTTTTTTTTTTCCTGTCGTTATGGGCGGAAGCATATCAGTATGGCCTGTTTCTTTCCGAAAGTCTGAGCCTGCTTCCATTTGTATCTCTTTCGAGAAAAAAGATACAATGGAATTATGGAAGCCTATTTCTTGTAGGCCCCTCTTGAACCCCCTCTTTTTCTGTGAAAAGATGCCACAAGCCGGATCTATATGAGTATTGCCTGTTTCTTTCTGAAAGTCTCTGTATGTGTTCACTCTATATGCTCATCTTCTCTTTTTCTGTGAAAAGGCGCCTCAAGCCCTGTGCATCGTCTCTTTTTCTGTGAAAAGATGCTGGGGGCTTTGCCCATATTAGGCTTGAGCTGAAAACCGCGTCCAGCGTCCCTTTATCTGCAACCTTCAGACAAAATTCAAAGCTGGTAGGTATGGGGTAGCAGAAGAGACATTCAGGAAAGTTAGGGGTTATAGTAGGGTTTAGGGTTTAGGGGGAAAAAGAAGGGCAAGGGAAAGGGAAAGGGTAATCAATGATCATCAGTCACGTTACATTCTCTTGGGCGTCGGTAGCATAGTTTTCTTTCCTTTTTTTATGTATTAATTGACCAGTTTGTTATGTTGAAGTTGCAGACACTGGGACGCTGGACCCGGTTTCCAGCACAAGCAGTGTTGCATCCCTGCCGACCGCCGACCCCGACCGCCGACCGTATTGCAGCCGGCCAGTAGGGCCGACCAGTCGGCGGTCTGCCGACCAGTCAGAAGACAGCCATCCACTATTTGTTGTTCAGTTTTGAGTCGGAAGTTGTACTGCGGTTGTTGGGTACAGCCCAAATGTGCCAAGAATTTGTGGGGGATGGGGGGATTGTGTTTGGGTGTATAGGGGGATATAGGGGGTATAGGGGTGGTATAGTGGGTACTGGGGGGGGGGTATGAGGGTGTTGGGGGGCGGTTTGTGGGTGTTGGGGTATGGGGGTATTTGGGGTTGGTATGGGGGTGTTCGTGGGGTTGTTAGGGGTTCTGGACCCATCGGTCAGGAAGCATCGCTTGCTGGTGCAGATCGGACGAATTCTGCCGCGTATAGTGAGGGGGGGCCCTCCAGAGGACGGTGGCTGCACCATGCCATTTTGTGGATTTGCGTCTCCACACAAGCACAGTTCGGTTAGCATGCACATGATGCAATCCCTGCTCCGAACACTATGAAGGGATGGATGATCACTGCCAGCCTCTGCCGTACAAATTGGACCTGTTCTCTTGCAATCACTCCCCCCACTCCCTAAGTGCTTGCCCGATATGCCGATGTGGCTTTGCCATGCTTTGCTTGAATAACTGTGAACGTTAGCCTGCTTTCCTCCTGGCATGTCAGCAACATGCCATGTGTTGTCGATGTTTCCAGGAAGAACATTGTTTGTCCCTACTGCGAGGACTATCGCTGATGCCATCACCCACCACATCCTCTCTGTTGGAGAGATGGTTAATGGAAGACCCAAAATTCGGGGTGGTCCAAATACGGTGAAACTGAATACAGATATAACCTAAAGCACACACATATCGGACAAAAAAAAAAAAAAAAAAGAAGCAAAAATTCAGGCAAATATGGCAGTTTTGGTGAAAAATTCGCCGAAAATGACACCACCTATTAACCACGAGTGATGCCTATACAATTTTGGGTCTCTGTGTTCCTAGCACGTGCAGGAGCCACGTCGCCTGTGACAGATCATGTCCCTCAAGCAGCATCATTGCACTCATGTACAGCACCTGACATGTCATGTCCAAGCTGTAGACCGGGGCTGGAACAACAATGCCTATACAATTGTGGCCGGCGTGCCTCTGTGTTCCTAGCGCATATATGAGTCACGTAGCCTGTGACATACGTCTACGCCGTGCCATTTGATGGAGCAAGTGCAACTGCGAGAATTGGATGCGGTGCTTCCACAGTCCGCACCCGACCCGGTCCTGTCCAGTCTGTAGGGGTGGCCGTTTACCGTAGGCAAACGGCAGCTCCTCCTCAACTCAAAATCTTCTGCAACCCAAATAACAACTTTTGGGGTCTGTAGGGGTGGCCTCTTGTGCCATTATAGAGTAGTCTGCTCTAGTGGTGAGTATGGAGAACCCTGTGAAGTTCGTCTTTCCTCTGTTCTGTCCTTCACCCCTCCACTTCCCTCCACTTCCCTCCTCTAACCCTTCTCCCTCCCCCGCCTCTCACTTCCTACAGAACTCCACTCCCTACTCCTTTCCCTTCCTCCCTCCTTTTGTGCGCTACTAGCAAATGCATAGAAATGAGCATCATTAAGAGAACAGACAAAACATAAGCTGAAGATCTGATGTACAAAGAACAGGAGTGTACCTCCCCCCTTTACTCCGCCTCCTTTTATAATGTGCAAAGTGGGCCGTTAAGGCACACGTGGATGTCGGCAGCTGGCACTTAGCCGAAGTCAACATGGCCAGCCTTGTACATGAGAGGCACAGTGAAAGGGAGCCGCGGCAATAACAAATAGACGGGGTACATCGAAGAAACTTCAAGAAAGTCAAAGTAAAGAAAGTCAAGGAAGGGATATAATCATATTATAATCATATAACGGTGCTTCAGGACGTCTGTTAAAATGGGAATGATAAAGAGAAAATTAGCAAATGGCCCTTGCGCAAGGATGACACACATATATCGAGGAGAAAAATGGTCCTCTTTCCTTTCTGAGAAAAGAAAGGGATATAAGTTCATATAACGGATCTATTCTGCTCCATGTTGCTTGGTATAGAGTTAAAAGTTCCGTATGTAAAACCGTTTCATCGTCGTTGGAAAGGCTCATCTCATGTGGTATCCTTCATTGTCTGCAATGGAGGGAGAGGTGCATCGATATTGGATCTACTCATCTGGGTGGAACAGGGGCTGTGGTGTTTGAAATTTGAAAATCCATATCAATCTGTATAGAGAACGTGACAAAAGTCACAAAACAAACACAGCAAGACCTTGCGAAGCTCGCCGTTCACGCGGACCAATGTGGCTACAGGCGGGACCGTGCATACGGTCATGCCAGCGGATATCCGAGGTCTGAGTGGGTGTGCAGGGTGGGTCTTATGGCTGTGACAGACTAGGTAGTTTCTCCGATTTACTGCCGTTCTCGGAAGGGGTTTGGATCAACAGCCTGCGAGGATTGCAGGGTTGGTGGGAGTACAGTCTATCTACCACTTTTCTCTCTCTCAGAGTCTCAGGGGTATCCCTAACTCTGGGTGATGTGGTTAGTCATTCCACTTATCCATCAGTCAAATGCATCCCTGGCAGACTGTCGGGGAATTTCAATCTCCCGACGAGTTGATGAAAGTCCGATGAAACAGTCTGGCCCAGTCGTGCTTTTTCTGTTGCGTTGTGTATAGCGAACATGACGAC